TTGAACCGAGGTCCCTGTGCTTTGCTTGGCTTAGCTTGTTCTAAGTAGATGCTTTAGACCACTGAGCCATCTCACCAGCCGTAGAAATTTGAAAAGTTATTACGTAGTACATCTCCTCACATGCCAACTTTCATGATTAATAACCAAGAGACAGTTTTCTTGATTACTGTACCTCAGAGGAAACTTTTTCAGAAACTGTATCTCCTTGATATAATTTTACATGCTCTTCAACAAACCTTCCAACTCCAGTGACTTAGCCAGTAACTCCTTTCTGTTCCTTATCTTTGCCACTCATTACATAACCTGCATTTGCCTTCTCTTATCACACACATCACCCTCACCATTCATCTTGTGCCAACATTTATATCCTAAGTAGTCTCTGTCCTGCTCTTATTTGTGGTTACTACAGTAGCCACCTAGCTTGTTTCTTTGCCTCCCAATCTGTCAAACCCACCTCCAGGTGAGCATTAGCATGATCCTCCCTGTTCTACATAAAACCTTGGCATGATGGGGTCAGGGGAGGTAAAATGAGGCAATAGTGACTAGACACATCAGGGAGCATTTTCATGGAGGGAGGGTGCTCACAAATACTGCATCCCAATATGCCAAAACCTATTGTGTGCATGCTATCACCCCCTACTTCCACAGGATGGATGGATGAACCACATTTTAAAAATGGGAACCTGGGGCCAGGGAGATGGCTCAGCAGAATAAGCACTTGCCAGTGCAAGGGCCTGAGTTCAATCCCTGGTTCCTCAAAAAAAAAAATAAATAAATATGGGAACCTGACCAGGTATGGAGGCTGTAATCCCAACATTTAGTAGTACTGCTGAAAGCTTGAGGCCATTCTGACTATGAAATGTGACCTTGTCTCAAAGAAAAAAAAACAAAAAAATCCTGAAACTCAAGTTTTTCTGTGGTCACCAAGTTAGTAAACAGTTGAGCTTGGATTTAAAATTTAGACAGCAAGCAATCCTCCTCAATATCCCTCAGGAGAGGTACTCAGTTGTCCTGATTGTAGTATTCAGATGGGAACCTTTGGAGTATAGTTAGCTCTGTGTCCAAAAGTTCTGTACATGTGACTTTAACATCTCACACAAAATATTTTTAAAAAATGCTGAGTATGATGGGCTATGCCCCATAATCCAAGCACTGGGGGGCTGAGGCAGGAGGATTGCAAGTTCAAGGCAAGCATGGGCAATTTAGTAAGATCCTGTCTCAAATGTTTGAAAGTGTGAAGGCCCTGGGTGCTGCTAAAAAAAAAAAAAAAAAAAAAAAAAAAAAAAAAATACTAAAACATGTAGATTTTGTTTTGCTGTCATTCTTTTTTTCCTGACTCAGGAAAAAAAATTCAGGCTGGCCTTGAACTCACCGAGTATCCCAG